ACAAAGGGCTTAAATGAAAAGTGTGGTCAGTTGGAGGTCCAGGAGTCAACATTTTTAACTCGGATTTGGAGGTAAACATGAAAGAGGCCATCTGCAGGGTCATATGGAGTGACACTAATAATGCAAGATCCAGCCCAGTAGGTGTCCTGACCTAGAACTGGAGAGCGAAAACAAGCCAAGGTCTTTCCCACCTTCTAGATCAGTTCTCAAACTGGCGAGCAGCTGTTGGAAGCAGAGTTACAACAGAAGTCCTGAGTCACCCCTTCACACATCTCAAATGAACCCCGGAAATCTGCACTGACAACTGACGCCTCCAGGCCATTCTAAAGCGGAGTTCTGTCTTAGAACAACGCTGTTCCAGAGAGCCTGGGACCCTGGAGAGTGGTCTCCCGAGCTCCCACCCTGCTCCTCTGTAAAAGCTGACTGGCGTCTCACCGGAAGTCGGCAGTGGGCCAGGAGAACCCCACACTGGACTACCTGGCTTCTCGGGAATCCGCTGAGCCCCCCACCGGGGCCTCACACCAGCATCATCGACTTGATCTGCTCTGCCTTCTCTTCTCCCCAGGATGGGACAGCAGGTGCAGAGATCTGGGGATTGTAGCTGGACACCAGTTCTACCTAGTCTCTGCTCCTTTCCTCCTCCCCTTTCCCAGAAACACCCCGGTGTCCTCAAGGTCACTCAGAATCAGGTGGAACTAGGCCATATCACGGGACCGGGGAGGCAGCCTCTGTTCCGCCGGCTCTGATAGCGGCAATACTCAGGTGCTTGCCTTGGCCAGGCATGGGGGAGGGGCAGAGACAGAGGGACTGGGTACCTATTCATACCTCACAGACCCCAAACGGGAGTGGACTCGTGCTTTGACACAATTCTTTCTGAATCTCAATCTCTCCCTCTCTCTCTCTAGAATAATGAAGGTAGTTTTAGTTACCTAGATTTTTAAACTGATGTATAAATTCTATAAAGTGCACAAATCTTAACTACACAGCCGCGGCACAACTTATATGTGTATTCTCACTCACAAGGTCAAGATACAGAGGAGCAGGACTTCCCTGGTGGCACAGTGGTTAAGAATCCGCCTGGCAATGCAGGGTACATGGGTTCGAGCCCTGGGCTGGGAAGATTCCACATGCCACAGAGCAACTAAGCCCGTGCACCACAACTACTGAATCTCGCATGCCTAGAACCCGTGCTCCGCAACAAGAGAAGCCACCGCAATGAGAAGCCCGCGCACTGCAACTAGAGAAAGCCCGCGCTCAGCAACAAAGACCCAACGCGGCCAAAAATTAAATAAATTTATAAAACAAAGATACAGAGGAGCTTCTGGGTTGGTGAACACATCCATGCGCTGAGAGGGTGGTGCACCCCAGTTCCACGGGGACAGAAGTTCCTACACTTTGGACCCTTCCAGACTTCACCCTATATACCTTTTCATATGGCCGTTCATCTGTATCCTTTACCATAAACTGGTAAACATTTTTATAAAAGATCAACATACAGAACATGTTCAGCACCCAGAGGCTTCCTAATGCATCCCCCATTCAGAACCCCTAACAGTATCCTGACTTACATCATCATAGATTAATGTGGCCTGGCTTTGAATTTCAAATAAACAGAATTACATAGCATGTATTCTTTTGTGTCCAACTTCTCTTACTCAATATTGTTGAATTACAAACATTTTTATTAAGGTTATTTCGAAGGTTTAGAAGTTCAATGTCATTTTGTTGTGTAGTTAATAAATATTATGGTCATACTCTACTATCCGTATCGTGGCTGTGTGGTGGGAACTCACTGAATGGAAAAGACAGGGGTGGGTGAGGGTCTCTAGAAGTGTTAAGAAACAAGGAGCTTTGGATCAGCAGGCCACGACCCCTGCAGGCCTAAGCACCCATGTCTGTCAGTGGGGTGAGGTCTCTACCCCAGTGACAAGCTAGACCAAGGTCTGGTATAGGCAGGTAGAAAGCCAATTTTATTGAATTGGACAAATATTTATTGAGAACCTGCTATGAGTCAAGCACTAGGCTGGGTATTAGGGATCCATTAGAGAACAAGACAGACAAGGCTTCTGTCCTTTTGGATTTTATAATATATGGGGGTAGGAGTAGGGTGAGGCCATAAATAAACTAGATAATATAATAGCGTTAAATGCTATGCAGGAAGTAAACGGTGTGGTAAGAAAGAGGGAGATGGAGTGGCAGGATTGTGAGGTGCATTCTAGAAGGGGGCAGGACAATCTTTCAGGAGGGATGGTTGAGCTGAGGACTGAAGGATACCAAGAGGCCAGCCACCTGAAAGGAGGGCAGTCCAGGCAATGGGTAAGCAAGTGCACAGGCCTGAGGCTGGAAAGAGTTCCGTACAATTGACACTTGAGCAGTGTGAGGTTAATCCTCATATACCTTAGAGTCGGCCCTCTCCACCCATGGATTCCACCAACCACGGATGGTGCAGTACAGTAATATGTGCTATTGAAAAATGTCTGCGTGTAAGTGGACCCTCGCAATTCAAACCCCTGCTGTTCAAGGATCAACCGTATTTGTGAGATCCACCAGACAGGGGGCCTGGGTGGCTGGATCACAGTTAAGCCAGAGGGAACATCAGAAGATGAGGTCAGAGGGGTTGGCAGGGAGGGCCCTGTAGACCAGGGCAAAGGTTTGGATTTAATTTCAAGGGCAGTGGGAGCTATTGGCGGGTTTTAAAGCAAGGGGATATGATCTGATTTATATTTTTAAAAGATCCCTCTAGCCGCTGTGTAGATAATAGATCACAGTGGCTAGAGCACCTGGGTGGGTGGATCGTGATGCCAAGGAGATCAAGGTGAAAAAGGCAGGTGGGAGAATCCAGAGTCAGATGCCTGACTGAGGACAACCAGGTGAAGCAGCTGAGTAGCCCGGTGGTCTGCAGACTTCAACAGACACAAGAATCACATGGGGGCTTGTTAAAAGAGAAACCTGTGGGCCCAGGCCCCAGACTTTCTGATTCAGGAGTACAGGGAGGGGTCCAACAATTTTGTCCCAATTTTTATAAGTTCCCAGGCAACACTGATGCTGCTAGTCTGGGGACTACACTTTGAGAAGCACTGAAAAAGTCAATTGGACACAGGCACCTAGAGCTCTGGTTCCCAGGGGAGGCTCTAGGCTGTCCTGGTATATCACATCCTTAAACCTGGGAATGGTTGGGCTCTCTCAGGGACTGGGAATAGAGAAGGGCAGGGGTCCACAGACAGGGCCCTGAGGTTGCTAATGTTTAGAGGTCAGGAAGAGAAGGATGACTGAGAAGGGACAGCCAGACAGGTAGGAGGAAAATGAGGAGGATATGGTGACCAGGAAGGTGTGGCAGGCAGAATGGTCCCCCAAAGATACCCATGCCCTAATTCCTGGAATCTGTGAATACGCTACCTTACACGGCAAAAGGGACTTTGAAGATGTAATGACAGTCATGGAGCTGAATTATCTGGGTGGGTCCAATCTAATCACATGACCTTTTAACAGTAGAGAACTTTCCCTGTCTGGACTCAGAGGGAGATGCAGCAGAAGAAGAGGAAAGCCTATAAGAATATCAATCAGATAATATGCTCTCCAAGCCTGAGAAGGAATTGGCATGCTGTTGCTGACTCTGAGATGTAGGGGCCCACGTGCAAGGACCACAGAGTAGCCTCTAAAAGCTAAGGGTCACTGCTGGCTGACAGCAAGGACATGGGGACCTCAGGCCGAGACCTGCATCTGCCAACAAACTGAATGGGCTTTCAAGTGGATTCTTCCCCAGAGCCTCCAGTGAGGTTGATGCCTTGATCTTAGCTCAGTGAGACTGGTGTCAGACTTCTAATGCACAGAACCGTGAGACAATAAATAGGTATTACTTTAAACAGCTAGTTTTGTGGTCCTCTATTGCAAGAGGGAAAGAAAACTAAATACAGAAGCCAAGAGAAAAAAAGCATTTAAAGGTCAGTCAGGTCAGCTTCATCAAATGCTGACAAGAGTCCAGTAACCTGCGGACAAAGAGGCGTCTGGTGGATTTGGCAACGACAGAAGAATGGTGGCGTGGAACAGGGGAAAGTGGTATTGAAGTGAGTTGAAAAGAAAATGGAGGGTAAGGAGGTGTTGACAGAATAGCCGAGAAAGCCTTTGCAGCAACACTTTTGAGAAGTTTTTCCCACACAGAGTAGGAATGAGACCACCTGTTGCAGCGGGGGACATTTGGGACAAAGGGAGGCGTATTTGTTTTAAGGCGGGGTATCTGGGGGCACATATGAGCGGAAAGAAATGATCTGTAGTCGAGGCAAGGCAGGTGCAGGAGAAAGAGAATAGCCAAAGGCGTCCAGTCCTCGGTTTGGCAAGAGTGGAAGGACGCAGGGGACAGGCTGGAGGGGATGGAATCCAGGGCTATTCTTCCTTTGCTCCACAAGAGCGCAGGTGCTGCAGATTTTGCAGCTCCGGTGCTGGGAAGGTGAGGGCCATCACCTTGTTTTCTCGGGAACTGGGCAGTTTGACTTTAAAGTCCTGTCTGCGTCTACGTTTCCCCTGAATGCGATGGAGAAGGACGGAGGGTAGAAATAACCCACGGCTGTGAGGCCTGACCCCTCCAGCAGCCCGCCGTCTCTGGGGCCTTGTCCCCACCAGCGTGTTCTGCCGGCCACGTGCCCACAGCTTGGCCATCATGTGCCCCACTGCTGATCCTCACCACCTGCGTGTCCCATTCCTTGCGCCTTCACCACGTGCCACCACACGCCCCTGCCACGGGCCCCCGTCATGATCTTCGCGTCCTCACCGGATGCCTGATTTTGCTCTGCACACCCCCATAATGTGCCCAGTTATGCTCCACGTGCCCCGTCACGCTCCGTGGGTCCTCACTACGTTTCCCATCATGCCCTGCGAGCCCTCAACTCGCGCGGGATCAAGCTCCTTGCGCCCCCACCACGTGCCCTGTCACGTGCCCTGCCTGCCATCCGCTGGCGCGTGGTCCAGCCCCCAGCCCCCAGCCCCGGCGTGGGCCCGCAGGCGGTTGGCTGCGGTTGGAGTGGTGCAATGAGCGCCTCCTCACGGTTCCTGAACGGATTGCCGCCGTGGGGTGCGGACGGCAGGGTAAAAAGGGGAGGCCGAGTCTCCGCTGGGGGAGGACAGCGGAATCGAGAGGAAGGCCGCGCGGAGATGGGGGGCAGCACCCGGAGCCCGGGAGTCCTGCAAAGGGACGACGCCTCCAGCCAGGTGAGGGCCTGGGTGCTGGGGAGCCAGGAGCCGGGGCCGCCGGAGTCGGGTGTCAGCTGAGGACTCTGAGATCTTCTGTTTCATTCCCCACAAGTCTCGGTACCAGCGGTTAAGTCAAAGGATGCTGGACCTTTCGGGGGACCGGGGCGTGCTGAAGGATGTCATCCGAGAGGGTTCTGGAGAGTTGGTGACACCAGACGCTTCGGTGCTCGGTATGTCGTGCAGCCCTGGGTGCCGTCTGCCCTTGAGAGGCTGGCGATGCCCTAGTGCTGGCAGTTCCTCGGGTTTTAAGGGATAAGCGAGGGAACTCACTACGCTTTAGTGTGAGACCACTGTGAACAAGGGGCTCTGGGAGGCCCCCCAGCCCAGCTCTTCAACCTCAGGGCCAAAGGGCCGCATCCAGATGTGGAGCAAAGGTTTCTTCTATCGCTCAGGATGTGGGGCAGTTTAAGGGCATCTGGTGCTCACATTGCTTTTGTGTGACAAAGAGATGAGATGTGGAGGTGTGAGTGCCTTTGGTCCGTTTTCCTCCCACTGTCTCTTTTTTCTGTCCTAGTGAAATATTCTGGGTATCTGGAGCACATGGACAAGCCTTTTGATTCCAATTGCTTTAGGAAAACCCCTCGGCTCATGAAACTTGGAGAGGGTAAGTTCAGAAAAAGAGCTGGAAAAGACACCGCAGCTTGGGGAACTGATGCAGGGCAGCGCTCTAGGACTGGAAAGCTGTCCAGAAAACTGAGTCTTCAAGTTGGTTTTTCTGAGGCTGGGTTTTGCTAAACGTTGTCTTCCACATTCCCCCCTGAGACCGAGGTATTTGGGAGATGGCCTGCCTGGCAAGGAAGGTAACCTTTGCATCCTGACTTAAACATGGGGTGCTGCATTCTTCTTTGTTAGTTTACTAAGTACAAATCTATTGAATGACTCTTTTACAAGGCAGGGTGAACAGAGAGGATGTACTCAGATGATTAGAAAGGCTGGGGCCAGTATGGTGGAGATTGACACACTCCAGACAACTAACCTCATGGAGCTCCTGGGAGGCATAAGCAGTGTTTTATGGGAGTGCTTAATGAAGGCAGAGTTAATTCCAGCTGGGAAGACTTCATGGTAGAGGGGGCATTTGAAATGAGCCCTGAAGTTTGAATAAGGGTTCATTCAAGGTAGAAGCTGGGACTTGGGGGAGGAGAACAACATTGCAGGAAGAAGGAACTGCGTGAACAGAGACGTAGAGGCCAGAATGCTGCAGAGCCTGGAGGAGTTAGAGCCTGCGGGGGTGGGGCGCAGGGGGGGAAACAAGGCTGAGAAGTGAGTTGGGACCACAGTGCAGAAGGCTTGGGATACTTGTGGAGAGATGTGGACGTGAAGGGGGAGGAAATGGATAGCACTGGGACAGTATACTGGGCAAGCTTCCGCCATGTATTTTTTGTCCCTTCTTCCAGATATCACACTTTGGGGCATGGAGCTGGGCCTTCTGAGCATGCGGAGAGGAGAGGTGGCCAGGTTTCTGTTCAAACCGACCTACGCTTACGGAATGCTGGGCTGTCCTCCCCTGATCCCCCCAAACACTACCGTCTTGTTTGAGATCGAGCTGCTTGACTTCCTGGATTCTGCTGAGTCAGACAAGTTTTGTGTCCTCTCAGCCGTAAGTTCTGGAGCACAGATGTCAGCACTTGACAGAGAGTTGGGATGGGTTTGTGTTTGGGGTAATTATCCAGCCCTGCTGAAGACCCTCAGCCCCAGATTCCGCCCCAGCCTCCCGTGTGGCGGCGGGGAGCGGGGGAGTATCCTGCCACTTGTTAGTATGCGTCTGTCTTAGTTCTGCTGGCTCTTGTGTGTGGGTACATGTGCTAGGCCAAGGGTTTGTTATGGACCACCAGGCTGAACTGACCTTTCGGTCACTGTTTGCCAATTCTCCCTGAAAGACAAGGAACATTTGTTTCTCAACGCTGTTTGGTTCCCAGCAAGTTGAGCACTGATAGCTCATAACTAAGGTGATCGTATAATTTATTGTCCAACCCAGGACCCTTGAAAGTGAGAGGTACTGTTAACCAGATGGCATACCAGGACATTGGATGTAAACCGGGACAATCCCAGGCAAACTGGGACAGATGGCCTCTGTCTTCATAACTTAAAAATTGCCTCTCCTTTGTAGCCTTTCACTTAACCCATCCCGTAGAGACAAGGCTTTTGATCGTCAGCAGTCACATGCACTCCTTGTTACGGTGTCTCACCCTGGCTATACATGTGGCCTTAGATGTCTACCCCAGGTTCACATCTGTATATGACATCTCCCCAGCTAAACTGTCACCACCTCAAGTGAGAGTTATTACCTTTTTCTCATCTTTCCACAAAGCAGAGGTTCTTGCAGATAACCTGGGTCCCAACTCTGGTGTACTGATTTAGAATCTTTGGGGATGGGGCTAGGACATCTATTTAAAAAGAGGCTCTTGGGCTTCCCTGGTGGCGCAGTGGTTGAGAGTCTGCCTGCCGATGCAGGGGACACGGGTTCGTGCCCCGGTCCGGGAAGATCCCACATGCCGCAGAGCGGCTGGGCCTGTGAGCCATGGCCGTTGAGCCTGCGCGTCTGGAGCCTGTGCTCCGCAATGGGAGAGGCCACAACAGTGAGAGGCCCGCGTACCACAAAAAAAAAAAAAGAGGCTCTACAGGTGATTCTGATGTGTACCAAGGGTAGAGCCTCATGGCCAGAAAGACCAGCAGGGCCCTGGGCAGACCAAGACCTGTTAAATGCTTGCTGGATGAGTGGTTGTCCTGATACGTGACTTCTGTGCTTGACAAGTTCCATCAGTTTCTAATTCTATGAGAAACTGCTTCTTTAGGGAGCATCTCTGGGTAGGACTAAACTAGTAGACTTCATTTTGGCTCTAGTCTGTAGAACAGGAGCAGTAATGGCAGCGACCTGCCGTGGCTTCTGTTGGGATTCACAGAGGTGACTTCTGCAGAGCCACCTAGCCCCGTGCTTGGCACACACGTGGCAGTGAACAGAGGTTCCTAACCTAAAGGAGCAGAACTGACAGCTGTAACGACACTGGCACTGTGGCGTTCAGTTTCCTTGCTGGTGTCCTTGTCTTTGATCCTCAGGAGCAACAGGATCAGTTTCCACTTCAGAAGGTCCTAAAAGTGGCAGCTACTGAACGGGAGTTTGGCAACTACCTTTTCCGCCAAAATCGTTTCTATGATGCCAAAGTGAGATATAAACGGGTAAGACTGCTTTAAGGTACACGTTTAGACCCTGGAAACTTCCTTCTTTAAAAGGTACAGACTTTTGTCTCTGTCCCTACTCCTCACGTACAGCCGTTAAGAAACATCTTGCTTAAAAATCCGCATGCCAGAGGGCTGGAGGCTAGGAGAGGGGACACAGGGTGTGGGGGAGCCGGTGATGTCTGGTTATGGATCTGGATGTGATTGCGTGGGTGTGTTCAGACTGTGAAAATCCACTGAGCTGGATGCTTACTTTTGTACTTAACTGTGTGTGTTTCTCAATAAAAAAGTTTTTAAAATTCTCTTTCTAGTTCAGGGTTCTCTACCTACTGACTTCTCCACCCCATTTGCCATCTTCATTTCATGTCTCTCTGACAGTGGAGATTCATTTAATTGTGACTCCATTCTCACCAAGCTTCTGATTGTGATTTGGCTTCCTGTGGAGGTTTTGCTGACAGGAATTCACTGTTGGCCTTGCGATGCATTCAGCAAATATTATAAACACTTTCTGTGTGCCAAACTTTGCACCCTAAGTTCTAGAGGCAAACAGGATAGAGTTTAGGGGTGTTCTGATTTTTGTCTCACTTGCATAGTGACACTAAACATTCAGGATTTGCATTCAGCTGTAAACCACAGAATCCTGAAAAACAGTTTTTCAAATAAACTAGAGACGTAATATTTCTCACATAAGAAGGGAGGCAGTCAGGGCTTCCCTGGTGGCGCAGTGGTTAAGAATCCGCCTGCCAATGCAGGGGACCCGGGTTCAAGCCCTGGTCTGGGAAGATCCCACATGCTGCGGAGCAACAAAGCCCATGTGCCACAACTACTGAGCCTGCGCTCTAGAGCCCGTGCGCCACAACTACTGAGCCCGTGTGCTGCAACTACTAAATCCCGCACACCATAGAGCCCGTGCTCCACAACCAGAGAAGCCACCACAATGAGAAGCCCGCACACTGCAATGAAGAGTAGCCCCCGCTCGCCGCAACTAGAGAAAGCCCATGTGCAGCAACAAAGACCCAACGCAGCCAAAAATAAATAAATAAAATTTAAAGAAAGAAAGGAGGCAGTCAAAGCCTGGCATAGCAGTTCCACAAAGCCATCAGGGATTCAGGTTCCATAGGTCTCTCTGCTCAGCTGCCCTTAAGCGTGTTTTTGTTGTTTTTTTTTTCCCCCGGGATGGTAGTTCAACCTGCAGCATCATCTGGGCAGGAAGAAGGGAAGGGAGAAGAGTCTGGTGTGTTTATTTATATTAAGAGCTTTCCAGAATTCCTCCTACCCCAGCTTCCCTTTATATCTCATTGGCCAGACCCGTGGTAAATGTCCATTTGCCCTTAGCTGTGTATGTATTAGAAGCTGGGAAGTGTGGTTTAATTAGTACATTGCTGCTTTGAATGAAATGGAGGCTCTGTTAGAAGAGGAGGGAAATACCAATAGACGTTGTCTTTCTCTGACTCATTTCACTTAGCATAATACCTTCTAGGTCCATCCGTGTTGTCGCAGATGGCAAGATTTCGTTCTATTTTACGGCTGAATAATGTTCCATTGTGTATATATACCACATTTTCTTTATCCATTCATCTATTTTGGGGCACTTAGGTTGCTTCTATATCTTGGCTACTGTAAATAATGCTGCAATGAACGTAAGGTGCATATATCTTTTTTTTTATGAATTGGGAGATGGGGATTGACATATATACACTTTTTAAATTTATTTTATTTATTTATTTTTGGCTGCATAGGGTCTGTGTTGCTGCACGCGGGCTTTCTCTAGTTGCAGCGAGTAGGGGCTACTCTTCGATGCGGTGCGCAGGCTTCTTATTGCGGTGGCTTCTCGTTGCGGAGCGTGGGCTCTAGGCACACAGGCTTCAGTAGTTGTGGCTTGTGGGCTCTAGAGCACAGGCTCAGTAGTTGTGGCACACGGGCTTAGTTGCTCCGTGGCGTGTGGGATCTTCCCAGACCAGGGCTCGAACCAGTGTTCCCTGCATTGGCAGGCACACTCTTAACCACTGCGCCCCCAGGGAAGTCCCTATAGTAATTTTTCTTAAACACCAGTCAGCCTTCAGTCATTTTCTTCATTCACTTTCTTGATAGTGGCTTTTGAAGCACAAGAGCTTTTAATTTTGATGAAGTCCAGTTTATTTATTCTTTAGATATTTGTGCTTTCAGTGTCATTATTAATCTAAGACCACAAAGATTTACACCAGTGTTTTCTTCTAAGAGTCTTACAGTTGAGCTCTTAGATTTAAGTCTGTGGTCCATTTTGAGTGAATTGTTGTATGCAGTCTGAGGTAGGAATCCAGCTTCATTCTTTTGCATGTTGACATCCGTTTATCATAGCACCATTTGTTGAAAAGACTGCTCTTTCTCCATTGAATGGTGTGGCACCCTGTTGAAAATCAGTTGACTCTAGATGTATATAGGTTTGTTTCTGGATTCTCAATCTGCATTGTTGGTTCTCTTCCACTGATCTATATGTCTGTCCTTATGGGTATCACACTGGCTTGGTAATTAATAAGTTTTGAAATTAGAGAGTATGAGTCTTACAACTTTGTTCTTTCTTTTCTTTAATGTTTTTTGGCTATTCAGGATCTCTTGAATTTCCATACGAATTTTCAGATCCACTTGTCCATTTTTGCAAATTTTGGTAGTGGTTGCATTGAAAATGTAGAACAATTTGGGCACTCTTGCCATTTTAACAGTATTAAGTCTTCTGATCTGTGAACATGAGATGTCTTTCCATTTATTTAGATCTTCTTTAATTTCTTTCAACAATGTTTTATAGTTTTCAGTCTACAAGTGTTACACTTTAAATTTATTGCCACTTATTTTATTCTTTTTGATGCTGCTATAAATGGAGTTGTTTTCTTAATTTCGTTTTTGGATTATTTATTGCAAGAGTAAAGAAATACAACTAACTCTCATATATTGATCTTGTGTCCTGCAACTTTGCTGAACTCACTTTTTAGCACTAATTGCGTGTATGTGTGTGTGTGTTCTTAGGGTTTGCTATATATAAGACCACCTTCTCTTGACCTCCTGTCTTCCTTCTCCACAGGCCTTGTTGCTTCTCCACCGGCGATCAGCACCCGCTGAAGAGCAGCTCCTGGTGGAGACCGCCAAGCTGCTTGTTCTCCTTAACCTGTCCTTTACGTACCTGAAGCTGGAGCGACCCACCGTGGCCCTGCGCTATGGAGAGCAGGCTCTAGTCATTGACCAAAAGAACACCAAGGCCCTCTTCCGATGTGGACAGGTGAGTTGGAGGGCAGGGACTTGGGAATGAATGCCCGAAGAAAGGCAGCAGTGGTGTTCAGCTTGGGCACTGCAGAAGTGCTGTCTTTCCTAAAGTGTGCTTTTAAAATTTTGTCCTTTTGACAGGCCTGCCTCCTCATGACTGAGTATCAGAAGGCCCGGGATTTTCTAGTCCGAGCCCAGAAGGAACAGCCCTTCAATCATGACATCAATAACGAGCTGAAGAAACTGGCCAGGTGAGACCTGTGTTTGCAGGAGTGCAAACAGAGGAAGGAACGTGTGGTGTGGCTGCCACTCTGGCCTGCCCGCTTGGGTGTAGGCCTGTTTGATGTTGCCAGGCTTGTGCTGGGAGGCAGCGCCCCCTAGAGCTGGCTTTGTGAAGTGCTCGGCACTCTGACCCACAGCTCCCAGGCCGTGGGGGGGCAGAAGGGAGGGCGGCTGTAGGACAGACCTCCAAACCACACATGCCTGGACCATCGCCTGCCTCCCTATCCTGCCCCAGAAGTAAGCACCTTAAAGAGGCGGCCAGTGTGACTTGCAGAAAGGGCAGTGTTCTTCAGATATTCTTCCCTACTCGCCACCAACTGAGGACTGCTGTTCTCAACTGACTGCAGATCCTGGTTTGATGTGAAATGGCTCTTTCGAGTCTAGTCATACCCTAGGGTGACGCTCTTGTTACTCAGGTGATATGGATACCAACCTTGAAGTAATCTAACTTTTTCTGATTGTAGAAGCTACATGTTCATTGTAGAAAACTTTGAAAATTTCAACATAGTTAATCACCGATAATTCCATCACTTCATATTATAACCACTGGGTGGGTTTGTTTGTTTGTTTGTTTGGTGCTCTTTGGTTCCTCTGTCTTGGTGAGATTTTTCTACTCCTGTTAACATTTTTAAATGTTTAATCCAGATTGCTAGTTAAAGCTTTCTTGCCATTAAAAAAGGTCTGAGGTGTGTGTACCTCTTATTTGGATCCGATTGTTTGCATTTCAGGCCTTTAACACTTTCTAGCAATTTCCTTTCTGGTATTTATAAATATCCTGTCAAGTTAGGTGTAGAAATTTTGGAGTCTGACCATTCTTTAGCAGGAAAATCTCAAGGTAAGTTTGAGGTCTCTGAGTGTGAGGTGTTGCTCGGCAGGACTCTGCTGGGCAGCCTCACTGACAGCGGCTCCCGCCTTCGAGGCTGCCATCTTTGCAGACGGTGCGCTTTTTGTCCAAGGACTTCCTGAACAGCCCTCGGGAGCCTCCCCTATCCCTATCCCCCCACCCCCCACCCCCCAGCATTGCTTCCACTCACTCCTGATTCGATTTAAGGCCTGCTGAAGCTTTGGTGTTTCTGGACCTGAGTGGAGAATTCCAGCCACCAGGTGTCACCTCCCACAGAGACAGCCCTTCTCTAACTACTGTGTATTTCTCCCGACAGCTATTACAGGGATTACCTGGGTAAAGAGAAAGAAATGTGTCACCGAATGTTTGCTCCTGGTGAACATGGCTCTACAGTAGGAGAAAACTAAAGGTAAGGAAAGGGCTGATGCATGAAAAGTTTCAGGATTTTGTCTAGTACAGGTCTTCCCTGTAACGGTGGGGTTATGTCCCAATAAACCCATTGTAAGGTGAAAATATCGTAAGTCACAAATGCATTTAATACATCTAACCTCCCAGAACACCCTAACTTAGCCTCCCTGGTCTTAACCGTGCTCAGAACACTGACGTTAGCCTACAGTTGGGCCAAATCAGCCCAAAGAAGGCCTGGTTTTATTATATGATAGAGTGTCGACTGTCTCGTGCAGTTTATTGAACACTGTACTGAAAGTTGAACCAGAGTGGTTGTCTGGGTTCAGAACGGCTGTCAGCGTGTCGGTTGTTTACCCTCGTGATTGCGGGGCCGATCAGGAGCTCTGGCTTGCTGCCCGGCATCAAGAGAGCCACTGGGACCGCATGCTGCTAGGCCGGGAAAAGATCAAAATCCAGAATTTCAAGTACCATTTCTGCTGAACGTGTATTGCTTTTGCACCATCATAAGGTGGAGAAGTCGTGAGTCAGATCATCGTAAGCCGGGGGCCGTCTGTGTGAGGAGGTGGGCTCTTCTCCTCGGCCCCCAGTGACTAACGCTGCCTACAGTGAGGAGAGAAACCCTCCTTCCTGGAGCTGATGGGCCGCTGTGGTGCAGGGGGAGGGCACGTGCTGTGGGCCTTCTCAAAGAAGATCACAGAAGTGAGGGAGGTCCCTCCAGGGCTGGAGGTTAGAGTCATAGGTTTGGGAAGCCTTAAGCCTAAAATTGAAAACGGAAATGTTTCATGGTATATGTTCACCTCCCTCACGGTAGCGTGGAACGTGAAGCTGTGAGTATAGTTATTAATGCAATGGTTTATCTGGGTGTTGAAGATAATGCTTTTCTTAATCTGGTTTCTCCCCAAAACCTGAAAGCCTCCAACCTCACCTTCCATCTAACACATTGTTAAAGACGATCCACATGTCGAGGGTGGGAATGGTTGGTGACTGCTAAGTTCCAAGTATTCCGAGAACTAGAGACGGAAGGTTTTCAGAGCAGCAGGGGGTGGGCACGCCCCGTCCTGCTGCAACCAGGGTTTAGCTGCTCGGGGTTGCGGTTTCCCCAGGACTACATGACATAACCCTCTTGTCTGGTTTACTGTTACTTCAGAAAACTAATGGAAACAAAATCACCTGCCTTAAACACCTGCTTAGCTGGGTAGATAGCTCTGCTCTCTTGAGAGAAGTTAAACAAGGGACAACAAGAAAACAGCTGCTGGACGGGCTCGTGATGATAAATCTCTCCTTTGTTGCCTCCTCCATCTCCCTACAAAGGAGGCTTGAGAGAAGAAGGCAGTGAAAAGGCCCATTCATCTCAGGGCTTTCGCAAGTGATCTGTACACTCTTGTCTCTGCCCCGTCAGAAACAGCCAGTCGGTATCAGACGTAACGTCGCCGTCACCATTGACCGTGACCCTGTGACCTTGGCCTTCAGGTCTTGCGGGGACATTGGCGTATTAGCAGGTCTCCTGAGCTGAGATGTGAGCCCGAGGACTTCTCTCGTTTGGCGACTGTCGGTGTCCGCCAGAAGTGGGCGCCCAGTGGCTTTCTGCCAGACGTCTTGAGCTGTGAGCTGCCATGTTCTGCCACTTAATGAAGATCTGATTCTTCCCAGGTCTGTCCTAGAAACAGACTTTGGAAAACCCAGCAGGGAAACAAGTGTCCTCTCTGTTGTCCTCGCTTCCCAGCTTTCTGCATCTGGCAGACGTTTTGGAGCCGCTGATTCTTAGATGGTTTTGGCGGTATCCCTAAGTCTCGAGTTTGTCTTATCACCAGCAATGGCCACGATCGTCAGACTCCCACCGCCATTGAGGTTGTAACACGTTTTGGCTTTTGCGTCGTTGGTCTTGCTGCTCCCCTTTTTTTCTGTTGTACTTGTGCCTAAGTTTAAGTTAGTCACTTAAAATGTCTAGGTTTTTAGATTATGTTGCCAACTAGTTTTAACTAACTAGGATCATTTAAAATGTGTACTTGTCTTCCAAGGTGTTAGATGCTACTGACTCGTCTCCATCTTGTCTTCAAAGATGTTAGATAAGAACAAGAGTTCCCTCAATTATATTCTCTAAGCCTCTGGTGATAGACGCAGTTTTTTAAGATCAATAGACCTCTATGTCCTTTTCACCTTTGTATTTTGCAGCATCTGGAACCATGCCTAGCATGTGATTGACGCTCAGTAAATGTTAGTTGGATCAAATATGAAATAGCTGAAATGTTAGCCCAGCCTCTTTGAAACCATACCTTCCAGGCTGACTCTTGTATTGGCTGTCAGGACTCATGTTATTGCCAGTAACAGAAACCCATTTTTAACTAGTGTCCACTAAAAAAGAGGTTTACTGAGGGGATCCTGGGGTAGCTCGCAGAATCCAAGGAGATGGTGAACAGTCAGTAGTCGGGCAGGTAGAGACTGTGGGCCCCAGGGAATCAGTCTCATCTTTGCTTCTTTCTCTCCTGCCCTAAGGAATGCCCAGGCATCCATTTACACAGCCTTTCTATTGGAGAGGGGTATTCCTTACCCACACCTTCCTCCTCTTCCTGAACCAACTATAACTCCAGTTTGAAGATCTCGAAGCAGGGCTCTGGCCTGGTTTGGAGAGTGTGGAGTCCCAGTTATCATATCATTTCATCCAAAAGGATTTCCCTGTGTATCTCTCAAAGATAAGGACCACTCTTGCACATTTTCTTTTATTCTCTGAACTGCTTATTTTTCTGTTCATTTGCTTTGACTTTTCTCTTTTCCACAAATGGTTGGTGTTTCTTGGTTGCTTATTCACATATAAGAATGAAACAGTAAGGAAAGTTGACCAGGAGCTCTGTCACCTGGGCAGGGCTTTTTGACTCATCCTTCTTAAGGCTGAACAGATGGGAGCTGAATGAAATGCTTTAAGATCCTTAAATACCACAGGGAGGGGCTTTGCATTGGGCACCAACTCCTATACTAGCTTCCCAGATTTTCCTTGGGTGGATTCCCCCCCCCTAAAATACGGGGTACAAGTTCTGTATTATTTTAATTTGTATATTCTCAATTTCTAGTGAAGTTGAGCATCTTCTTGCATATTTATTGGCCCCGTTATATTCTTTATGCAAATTTCCTATTGATATCCTTTGATCACTCTTAGGTCTTTTCTTCATTGTTGTGTAAGAACCCTTTTTCACGCGAAGGATGTTCACTAACTGTCACATATTTTCTTCTAGTTGTTCTGAGTACTTATATATTTACATGTGTCGCTGTTTTCTGTGTGGTGTCTGGAATTCACATTATGCTTGCACTTGACCTGTGGGAGTAGCAGAGGTCTGTAATGAATGGGCAGGAGAGCTCAGGGGTAACGGGTTTCCTAACAGTTCTTCCTGGAGTCTGAGCATCATTCCATGTCCACAGTGCTCCGTAACGTCCATAAGCCCATTTAATCTTCCCAACATTTTTTTGAGGGAGAAATTATCTCCGTTTTACAGATTGGGGAAGGAATAAAGCTCAGAGAGTTAGACCCTTTCCCTATTTGCCTGTGTGTAAACGACTGTGACCATTTTCATTTGATTTGAAATGTAAACCCCAGGCGATATCTGAGGCTTTGAATATATTCAGCTTCTTTCTTCAGCTGGAGCATTATCACTGGTTGCTCAGGGATTTTTTATTCCTTTCTTAGGTGTTTAGGAATTTCCTCCCTCTTCTCTGCTTTTCCATACTTAAGAGAAGCTGAAGCCTTTGGGCTATAGAATTAAGAGGATTGAGCCGTGTTGCTTGGCCAGCCTCAGGGAAAGAGTATCCTAACGGACTTCATAAAAAGTGTTTTCTGGGAAGTCAAAGCAGCCCCCAGGAGGCTCAGGTAGAAATAAAGGCCGAGCTGTGGAGAGTCCATTCCTGTAGTTGATGAGATTCTGGGATTCGTTTAGTCCTGGTTCAAAATGTTGGCCGGAGTGAGCCCTGGAGCAGCAAGCCCCACAGAGCTCAGTGCCGAGGCTCGAGGGGTCCTCTGGGGTCAGGGGTTCCCTTGTTCCAAAATAGCCTTCCTGTGTCCGGCCCGTACCAGTCAGTTGCCCGGAAACCCTAGGAGCAGAGCATCATCCCTCACGGTATGTGACCAGATCCAGACGGAGAATCTGTTTGATCCCATTCTTCCCAAAGGGATTAAGGAGAAACTCTCAAACCTGCTGTTGAGTCTATAAAGATATTTCATGCCTCCAGTTAGACTCATCTGAATCCTGAACAAATAATAACTTGCTTAAGTGTATTTTTATGATTTTATATATTAATTCTGACTGACTTCCCTGCATCTCCACTTGTTTTCCTCCTCCAAATGGAGATGTATTTTCTCAAGAGTAACAGGGCCAGGCAGGCATCCTCTTGTTCTCAGATGAGGGCCGTGCTGTTTTCCAGGCAAACTGTTAGACACAGTCTCTTGATCTTTAGGAAATCTGTGAAATGCCTTTTCTCCCAGCTCAGGGGTGTCATTGAAGTCATCCCTTTGTTGTGTGACTATAAATAACTCCACTTAGGTTGGCACCTCTTCATTTTACCCCTTCCTGGGAAACGTTTCCGCTGGTAGAGCTTCTTTGGCCCGTTCACCTCTGCAGCCTCTCTTGGCAGCCGTTAACAGGCCCCAAACCTGCTGCCTACTGAGATTTACTTCTGTGCTCTTAGTAGGTGAGGTATCAATGAGGGCTACATGTCAGGCGATAACTAGGTTCCTTTCTCTAATCTTCAAATCAGTGATTACTGAAGTGCCATTACCTTTCCTTATGGGGCTGAAAAATGGGAACTTTGGATTCTCAGTCTTAGCTTGCTTTCTGTGACATCAGCCAAGTCATTTAACCCCTCTGGGCTTCAGTCTTGTCACCTGTAGGATGAAGCGATTAGATCTTTAAGGTCACTCTGTACCTCTTTCTCATGTCAGATGTTGGCTCAGTTGTTTTTAATTTCTTGGATTCATAATTACCTAATTATGAATAAGCCTTGTCTCCAGGCCTATGT